CCTAAAATGCTGATAGGCATGGTAAATTCCCCTTATTTAACACAAAATATAATAATTTTAACGTAGTGTTTAACCAGGAAATGAAGTATTTAAACAAAGGCAGAATTCTTTGAGAGTAACAGAGTTAGAATTAGTCATACATACAAGCTCCCTTTTCTCAGCTGAAAAATCTTCCCCAGAGCATGAATGTGTTAGATCTGAACCCAAGGGCCCAACCCAGTCAGCTCCTACAAATGTTCCCATTTTATTTTTTTATTTTTTTTTAAAGATTTTATTTATTTATTTGACAGAAAGAGACACAGCAAGAGAGGGAACACAAGCAGGGGAAGTGGGAGAGGGAGAAGCAGGCTTCCCGATGAGCAGGGAGCCCAATGCGGGGCTCGATCCCAGGACCCTGGGATCATGACCTGAGCCGAAGGCAGATGCTTAATGACTGAGCCACGCAGGCACCCCAGGTGTTCCCATTTTAAATGGATGTCTGGGCCTATCCAAATTCAAACCCTAAGAACTGAGTCACCTGAAGGGTTTAGGACACTCCTGCTAGTGAGGATCAGTTTTAATGTAAAATATTCTACAAAATAGTTTTTAATTACTTTGATTTTTGTGTTCTCATCATAATCTTTCTGTTATTTTCTCTTTGATTTTTAGGATCAATTTTAACATAACCAGTGTACCTACAATTCTGTAGAGAATGGGATCTAAAATCTGGAATATTGACTTACCTTGTAGATGGGAACTCCCTTCCTCCTTATTGACTAATGACCAAAAGTGCTGTTTCCACACATCTTTTCCTCTTCGAACTAGAACCTTTCTGCGTTTTTCTTATACTTTTGGCTTCATAGTATATAAACCAAATAGAAGAAAATAAATAAAGCATTATTAATTTAAACAAAACCTCAATACATTTTAGCATTGTTACTGACAAGTGACTATAATGCCGTACTTGTGCCCTCAAAATAGAGAAACAGTGTTTCCTTTGATTATGGGAGTAGGGGATTGGATACAGGAGAAATGAGCAGGAAACAGATCAGAAATTCTTACAGTGCACACATTACAATTAAAACTTCACTGTAAAAATAGAAAATGTTCACTTGGAGAGTTGTAGCCAGGCATTGGAAGAAATGAAAGGAAATCAGGATCTCATCCAGTTTATAATAAACAGTATTCAAATCTAAAAAAACAAAAACTTCACTATACCATCTATCTATAATTTACCATCTATCTGTAATTCTAATTTTGTAATATTGAAAAAATTGTTGAGAAAAAGAATAAAATCACCCATCCCATCTGCCTCAACATCATACTGTTTTCATTTTTGCATATTCTCCCTGTCTGCTTAAACCATACTACATACTTGCAACCATATTGTGGATATGATTTAGAATTCTGAGGTCGGCGGCGGGGGGTTTCCACTTAACATTTTATTTTAAACATAATTTCTTTGTTAACGGGCTTTTTGTGCTGAAGATATAAAAATTGGAGGGAATAGGTCTGCCTTTAAATGTGATTATTTTATAATTACACTTCTTTAAAGTGGTCACATTGGTCACTTTAAAGTGGTTACAGACTTAGAATTTATGTAATGTTTTTGAAGTTCACAATACTGTATTCTCCCTCTTCCCACATTCCTTCTATTCTGGGCCCATAAGAAAATATACAGTGGAAAACCCAATTTTTTGAGGTGGTAATGGCTGTTGAAGTGTTGGGAGTCCTCAAAGAGTGTACACAGCCCCCTTTTGCTTTTCCCTATGGTACTTGGCCTTCCTTAAAGCCTTGAGGATATTGATAATACTTGGGGCTATAGGGTTGGTTATTCAAGAGCTCTGTTAAAATCCAGATACCTCAGGGTTGGTCAATGCTCACCTTTAATCAACCTGAAGCAAATCCCTGGTGGATGGTGTGGTCTACCTGTGTGAACCCATGACCACACCTGCAGTTCCCTGCCCAGCCTCTGCTTCTGCAGTCCAGTGTCTATGGAGAACTCTCGAGTAGTCAAGAGCAATGAAAAAGAAGAGGCATCAAAAGAACATTTAGTTTACTTATTATATGCTCACTATCAGGGCCATACCAGTCAGTAAACTAGGAGAATGGAAGAAGCCTAAAATTAGTCACTCTCCTTTAGTTTCTGAAATGCCTTCTCTGTAGACAGGGTATACACAGCACAACAGTAGAACTGACAAGAATGTGTGAGTTCATTTGTGAGGTATGCTCTAAGAAATTCGTGGATCATACTCATTAAAGATACCAAAGTTTGTAGATGATACAGTGCTAGATTGATTCAGTGGCAGTTTGACTTACTTGCATTCTGAGATGTTCCTTCTTGAGTGGGAGGGTTTGGCAGTCACAGCCCACCTTGGAAATTGCACCTGAGTCTTGTAGCGGGCATCACAGATGTGTATGCCAGTTGTCATCTGTTTGGCAGTAGGTAAGAAGTCAAGAATTGCTGGGAGAGGGCACAGAAATACAAAGGTGGCATAAAGAGAATGACCGTTCTGAGAAAACGAAGGGTCTGTTTCAGATGTGCGCTGGTCACTTCCTTCTAGTGCATCTCTGATGTCTTCTCTCCCCTATATCTTTAAAATGGTATCTGATTAAAAGGAAGAAAGTGTAATGGATTAAACCATGACAAGAATGTTTAAAGACAGGGGTGCCTGGGTGGCTCAGTCGTTAAGCATCTGCCTTCGGCTCAGGTCATGATCTCAGGGTCCTGGGATCGAGCCCCACATCAGGCTCCCTGCTCGGCGGGAAACCTGCTTCTCCCTCTCCCACTCCCCCTGCTTGTGTTCCCTCTTTCGCTGTGTCTCTTTCTGTCAAATAAATAAATAAAATCTTTAAAAAAAAAAAATGTTTAAAGACATGTGGAACCCAATTATTTTATTGAGAATACAGACCCTTTAACAGTTTCTTTTCACAATTTAAAAAAATGTAGAAATACAGAGCCTAAGTGGGGTATAGAAATGGCATTTGGTTTTGGAGCGCCTGGGTGGCTCAATCGTTAAGCGTCTGCCTTCAGCTCAGGTCATGGTCCCCGGGTCCTGGGATCGCACCCTGCATCTGGCTCCTTGCTCAGCAGGGAGCCTGCTTCTCCCTCCCCCACTCCCCCTGCTTGTGTTCCCTCTCTCACTGTATGCCTCTCTGTCAAATAAATAAAATCTTTAAAAAAAAAAATAGAAATGGCATTTGGTTTTAACATAATATGATATCACTAACTCAGAGTAGCTGAATCAAGATCTTTTTTCAGCGTAAAATACAGTAATGTCCAAATGTTTATAGTGCCTCAGGTTTTGAAATCTAGAAATTGAGAGCTGCACCATTAGGGGTGAGTTTCTATAGTACAATTCTTACTAGAGGCAATCATAAATTCACACGTGTGAGAAGAAATAATAAGAGTAAAAAAACCTTTAGAAGAATATTTTTAAAACAGAAGAAATGAGTCATCTGTATGCTATGCAAATTTTTTAAGTCGGTAAATTTAGAAATTATTTTTTCCTTTATATTTGGGAAAGAAATGTAGTTAGGTCTATAAAGTTCAGAAATGTCCTTTTCAGAGCTGGGCAGTGATGAAAATTATTGAATTTTCTGCAGTGTTGGAAATGTTCTCTATCTGTGCTATCTAGTACCGTAGCCACTCGCTACATGTGGCTATCGAGCATTGAAATGTGCAATTGAAGAACTAAATTTTTAATTTTAGTTAATTTTAGTTAATTTAAATTTAAATACCCACATGGGCCCAGTGTCTGTCATATTGTTAAGGCTTTAAAAAGACTTAAAGTCAGGGGTGCCTGAGTGGCTCAGTCAGTTAAGCATCTGACTTCTGCTCAGGTCATGATCTCCTAGGATTGTCCCACACTGGGCCCGCACTCAGCAGGAATCTGCTTCTCCCTTTTCCTCTACCCTTTCCCCTGCTCGTTCTCTCCCTCTCTCAAATAAATAAATAAAATATTTAAAATAAATAAATAAATAAAAAGACTTAAAGTCAAAATTGCATAGTAGTAGATATGCCTTGCCAGATAGTGAATTCATTAACTAAATATCATTTTGTGATTCTTTGGCTTTTAATTTTTTTTTTTTTTTTTTTTGTACCTTGTACTAAGTAGAGTCATTACCACTCCTGACTTAGCTTATCTTTAAAACAGTATGTCCTTGGGGTGCCTGGGTGGTTCAGTCCATTAAGCTACCAGTTCTTGGTTTCGGCTCAGGTCATGATCTCAGGCTTGTGAGATCGAGCCCTGCATCTGGCTCTGTGCTCAGCAGGGAGTCTGCCTGAGATTCCTTCCCCCTCCCTCTCCCTCTGCCCCTCCGCCCCCACATATGCTCTTTCTCTCTCTCTCTCTCAAATTAAATAAATAAATAAAATCTAAAAAAAATTTAAACAGTATGTCTTTTACCTTAAAAACTTCTAAATCGGGCGCATGGTTGCTCAATTAAGTAACTGCCTTCAGTTCAGGTCATGATCCTGGGGTCCTGGGATCGAGTTCCACATTGGGCTCCCCCTGCTCTACGGGGAGCCTGCCTCTCCCCCTGCTTGTGCTCTCTCTCTCTCTCTGTCAAATAAATAAATAAAATCTTAAAAAAAATTTTAAATTAAAAACTTCTAAATCATAAGCCCCAAAGTGCCAGTTTTAGGAGAGAGCAAAATACGGATGCTGTCTACTCAGAGGGTACACTCATCATATGTTTTTTTTTTTTACATTTAAAACAAATTACAAAGGTGAAATGTTTGGGAGTGCAATGTACTGATGTCTAGAACTTACTTTGAAATGCATTTTAAAAGTGGGTGGATGGATGGTTAGATGGTAGATGTGTGGTAAAGAAAATAAAGCAAACTATAAACAATCTAGGGCTGTTCACTGTGCTGTTCTTCCAACTTTTCTGAAAATTTCATAAGAAAATCAGTCAGCCTCATGATAAAATGTTGGGAGAAATTTAAATGTAAGCATATGAAATATTTTAAAGTCTTTTTTTTTTTTTCTCGGATCTTTCACTTCTCTGTTAAATAGAGCCAAGGAGCAATAACCGAACGTTTACGAAGTTTTAGTATGCATGACCTAACAGCTATCCAAGGCGATGAGCCTGTGGGACAAAGACCATTCCAACCTCTACAAGAAACAAAAAAGAAAAGTAAATCAGTCTCCGGTGAATCAGCAGGTGTGCTTGTTTGTTTTGATATATTTTTCTTTCACAATTGGAATTTTGAGTCCAGGTGGGTACTAAAATAATTAACATGGTAACTCTGAATCTGCGTAGACATGATTTACACTGATGTTTGTGAATTTACACTTAACTGGAGTTGTGTTTCTCTCAGTATTCTCTAAAGTTAATGCTTGCCTTTTGTTGACTAGAGATCATCCAACTAGGAAAGTAACAGTAGCCTCTTGTGCCATCATGAGTTTTTAGAAGCCTTCGGTGTGGCCATGCCCACCTCCCCACCACTGGCACGAGTGATTAGTCCTCTTTCAACTCAAACTGTGTAGTGACATCTAAGGAGTCACTCTTTACTATTTTTTTTAAACACTCTTTACTGTAAATGCCGTGAACAAATGAGGATATTGACTCAAGATAAAATGTTTGAAGTGGGTGACAAAGGATGACTCCATTTGTAAATAGGATTACTGCAATGGGAAATATGTTGGAATAACATATTCTCATTCAAGAACTAACTTGTAGGTATTTCTAATGCAAATTAGGAGCATGGCAGAGGTGATATGTTCTAAAACTTCAACAAATTATCTGATCTTAGAAATATACATAGGGCCACCTGGGTGGCTCAGTCGGTTAAGCGTCTGCCTTCGACTCAGGTCATGATCCCAGGGTCCTGGGATCGAGCCCCACGTTGGGCTCCCTGCTCAGTAGGAGCCTGATTCTCCCTCTCCTCCCGGCTTGTGCACTCTCTCACTATCTCTGTCACTATCTGTCTCTCAAATAAATAAAATCTTAAAAAATACATATGTGCACATAAATAAAAAGTCATGGCTCCTTAGTCATTTTATCACATGTAAGAAAGTTTTAGTTCAAGGCTCAGCTAAAAATTAAGATCTTCACGACATTTCTTATTAATACATTGTTAAGTCCATAAGATACAAGGCTATTCGATGTTTGTTTTTTTTTTAAGTAGTTTTCTTTTGAGGGAGGTTAAAAATCGTCCTTTATATTGAAACCAATTTGAGAAGTAAAATAATAGTTCCTTCCTATATAGAAAAAATAATGAACTTCTTCTGAGTTCTCTCTAGAATGAATAACTTTACAAAGTGGGTGGCTGCTACGTAAGAGGTAGTAATTAAGCATCGGCCATTGATTAAGGTAGTAATATCTTTAAGAATGAGAACCACTGTACTTTGGACCATTATCCTCAATACATTAGTGGTGTAAAAGTAGTTTCCAATATAGGCATTTTCTTAATATACATTTAAAAATTAGGTATACTGATTTTGATTATGGGGTCTACTGTATATATTTTGCTGGATTTGGACCAGTTATCTGAGTCCTTTACCAGCGGTTTATTAGTAATTATACTTTAGAATTGGCTAAGAATGGTATTCTGATATTTAAATGAAAAGATGATTATAAATATGAAAATCCATAGCTATCTTTATGATATTCATCTATTAAACTTAAAATGATGTGACTATTTTAAGATAGTAAGGTGCTGTTTAGTTCTTCTGTTAAATTTTAAGCCATGAAAATTAAAATAAGATTAGAGAGATATGAGGTAAGTAGTAGCAGTACAAAAAAAGGGACTTGTTCAGTTATGAAATTAAAATTTTAATATGCATTACTTTGCCCAAGTTCCAAGTTTCCTACAAAATGGTATATATTCTGAGCTTTTCTTCCCTAAGGAAGAAATTTAACAAAAACATTCTCTCTCAAAAATATTTTTTTTTAAAGATTTTATTTATTTATTTGAGAGAGAGAATGAGAGATAGAGAGCACGAGAGGGGGGAGGGTCAGAGGGAGAAGCAGACTCCCTGCTGAGCAGGGAGCCCAATGTGGGACTTGATCCCGGGACTCCAGGATCATGACCTGAGCCGAAGGCAGTCGCTTAACCAACTGAGCCACCCAGGCGCCCAAAAATATTTTTAAAAAGTAGTAAGGTTCCAGCGCAGGAATAGTTGAAGAGAAGATAATTATAGATGGTCTATGTAAACACAAGTCCAGATATACATGGAAGTTTATCGAATGAGGATGATGCCCTTCAGGTCGGTGGGAGAAAGGCAGATAAAGAAGGGTATCAGAATAATTGCTAGACTTAGAAGATGGGGTAGGGAATGAAGTTACACCTCTGTCTCAAGCCCTTCATCAAAATACCTAAAAGGTTAAGATGTACATGTAAGACACTGAACCATAATACAGTGGGACATTCCTGACTATATATTTATACCCTTAGGATATGCTGGACTTCTTAAGCATGACATCAAAACTAGAAGACATAAAGGAAAACCTTGAGAGATTTTTCTATATAAAAAAAATGTATAACATATAAGGGGAAAATATTCCATGCCGTAAGAAAACAAACTAGAAGAAATATTCTCATCTGATACAGGCAAAGGGCTCAGATTTTAACCATACAAAGAATTCTTACAAGCCAATTATTGTTAAATCTACCAAAGAATACAGCTGACCAATTAATACATGAAAAAGACACTCAGCCTCACAAAGAAACAATAAATTAAAATGGTAATCATAGTAATTTTTGCTCACCAGATTGGCAAAAGGATTTTTTTAATTAGCACTGTTCTGTGTTGGTAACTATTCTAGTACTCTATTTCTGTGTAACGAACTACAAACAGTGGCCTTAAAAAAAGTCACAGTCATTTTATTTTGCTCCTGAATCTGGGGGCGACTGGGCTCAGGCAGGCAGTTGCTGCTCAGGGTCTTAATGCAGCCACAGGGAGACAGCACCTAGGGCTGGAGTCATAATGTCAAAGGCTTCTTCAGCCGGCCGGCCGGTATGTTAGCTGTGAAGAGTCACACAGAGGATGGCTCAAAAAGGCGGGGCCTCTCTGGCCTCTCCTTCCCTGCGTCTCTCTACGTGCTCTCTCAGAGCTTTGGGGCTTCTTACCTGGCAGCTAAAAGGTCCCAGAGCCAGTCTTCCAAGAGAAGTGGCAGGAATCAGACAGCATCACTTCTGCCTTAGGGCAGTTTATTAAGACAGGTACCTACACACATCCTCGAGATTTAAGGGAAGAGGAGGGGCGCCTGGCTGGCTCAGTTGGTGGAGCATGCAGCTCTTGATCTCGGGATCGTGAGTTCAAGCCCCATGTTGGATGTAAAAAAAATGTAAAAAAAAAAGAGATATAAGGGAGGAGGAGAAAAGTGTCAGAATTTGTGGACATGTTCTAAAATCACCACAGCAAGCATGTTGGGAAACACACTCTCACTTTTTAAGAGATTTAAGTGGAATAATCCTTTTTTATGACAATCTGGCAATAATTATCAAAATTTATTCTCTTTAACTCAGCAAAAAACTTCTAGGACTATGTCATAGAGAAATAATCAGACAAGTGTTCAAAGATGTATGTACAAGAACATTCATCTCATTGTTTATAGTAACAAAATTCTGGAACAAACCAAATGCCTAAGAAAAATGGTTAAGCAGAAGTGTGGTTTATTAACCATGAAAATTCATACTGTCAGTCCATACTTGCTGACATGAAAACATATCCAGATCATGGGGAAATAAACAATAACAATAAAACAATATGTGTGTTATGCTGTATAGACACAATAAATAGATGAAATGCATTAATACATTTGAATTTTCAAATGTATATACATAGGGAAGAGTCTGGAAGGTTATTGCTAAATTATCAACAGTGTTCAGTTCTGAGTATGGGACTTCAGTGATTTTTTTTTTAATCAACCTATTTTCAAAATCAGAAAGAACAGTACTCTTCTTTTTGAAAAATAATTAAGGTACTCATTTTTTTATGTCATGAATTATTTTTTATTTCATTTACTTCCAGAATTCCTCAAGAAAAAATAGTAAGTTTTTCAGTGTGGTAATTGCATCCACATTGCAAACTGTTTACTGCTTCATGTGATCAATACATTTACCTCAGATGCTCTGCTTGTTCCCACAAGTAAACTCAAATATCTGGAAATTTGAATCCATTTTGAAAACTCATCATGGCCTGCTCTGAGTGGTTTGAGGTTAAGTAGTTAAGAGAAGTCCTACTTTGATGAAGTGATTTAAGTCTGCATGTTGTCACTATGGCAAAAAGAGCTCCCTCCAAATCCTTCTTTATAAGAAAATAGGCGCCTTGGGGCACCTGGGTGGCTCGGTCCTTAAGCGTCTGCTACGGCTGAGGTCATTTTCCCAGGGTCCTGGGATCGAGCCCCGCATCGGGCTCCCTGCTCAGCGGGGAGTCTGCTTCTCCCTCTCCCGCTCCCCCTGCTTGTGTTCCCTCTCTCTGTGTCTCTCTCTGTCAAATAAACAAAAAAAAAAAGAAAAAAGAAAAAAAGAAAAAAAAAAGAAAATAGGTGCCTTGAACATGATGTTCACATTCCTTGAACTCCACATTGTGATAAGTGGGAATATTTTTTCTGCAAAGATACTGCTGCTCCCATATCAGTTAAAAGTGGCCCAATATTCCGTTTCAATACCAGTAAATAAAGAAAGCATATATTTTTTGTTTTGCTTTAGGTGCTTTACATATTTATTTAATCCTTAAGATGACTACACAATTTAAGTATTTCTTTTTTTTTTTTTTAAGATTTTATTTATTTATTTGACAGAGAGAGAGCACAAGCAGGGGGAGTGGCAGGCAGAGGGAAAGGGAGAAGCAGGCTTCCCGCGGAGCAGGGAGCCCGATGTGAGGCTCGATCCCAGGACCTTGAGATCATGACCTGAGCCGAAGGCAGATGCTTAATGACTGAGCCACCCAGGCATCCCTAATTTTTTAGATGATTAAACAGGCATAAGGAGATTAAAATACCTGTCAGGGGCTAACTACATAGTCAATGACAGAAACGAGGTATCCAAGGTTCTCTTTTTCGTTTATAAAAAGGCTACACTTCGTGGTACGGTTGGGCTGGAGCTAGGAATTCCAATAATTTGAGCAGGTAGCAACCTTAGCGATGCTTTAGTCAAAGATGGCGAACGGGTGTCCTGCCTGCTGCCTGCTTGCGTGCCCACGGTGGCAGCCATTGCTGAAGGACCGTGGCACTTTCCCACCGTGGCTCACAGGCCCCCTCAACATAATGCCCCGCACAGCTCGACTGGGTCAGAGTTGGCATTCATCCTCTCATCTGTCTCACCCCCTTACCATACGAGAAAACAGGCCTGCAGAGAGGCAAGACTCACTCTGGGTCTCACGGCTCACAGGTGGTCGAGTACTCCCATATCCTAACATAGGTCCAGGCCTCCTTCCAGGTCAAACTTCCTGTGATTTCGCACTTAGATTCATATGTAGAAACCGCTTAAAGCAGTGGGTTGCTAAGTACTGGATTAATGTTGGCTTTTAATATTACTATAAGGGGGGAAACAAACTATACCAACTCTAAGATAGAGGAACTGTGTGAATCCCAGGTCCGTTTCCTAAAGTGGAGCGAGCGCCCAGGGTCATACAGGCTCCTCAGCCTTGGGTCCCCAGTCACTGCTCCTCGGGAATCTGCGTGCGAGGGCTCTGTCCAGTGTAGATCAGTGATGTAAAGCAGTCGACCTGAGCACCACTTTGAATGGCGGCAGCGGCTGCACTTTGCCCGGGCCTGGCAGTCCCGTGGAGCACTCAGCCCACTCGCTGAGGGCCTGCTCCGGGATGGCACCCAAACCTGGGCTTCCCTCGTCGTCTCGGCTCTCCCTCCTGCCCCCAACACTTCTGAGTCCTTGGACAACTTGGATTAACATTTCTACCACTCACAGCAGAATGTTCATACGTACTCATTTCCCGGTTCTGAAGTGGAATAGAAGATGCGTGTTTTAGTGAAGGTATTTGACTTGACTCCTCTGTTTTTGATGCACAGTTTGGTTGAATAAATTGCTAAGTTAAACTTGTCAGTTTCATCTTCTAATAGATCCCCGATTTGGCTACTGTCTCTGTCTTTGCTCCCTGGACCCCATCATTTCTGACCTGCCATACTGCAGTTAACTTCCCTGCTTCCAGCCTTCATCCACTTGATTCATTCCCCAAAGTGCATTCCAAAAAAGATTCAAAAAGAATCTTTGAAAGACCCCACATGTAATCATGTCACCCTTCTGCTTGAAATGCTTCAGTGGCCCCCCACATTGCTCTCTGATGGAGTTCAACCTCAGTAGCATGTGGTGTATTAGCTCCCCTGCCTTGTTCTCCCACTGCATCATGTGCTAGCTATAGAGAATCATGAGCCTTCAGAGGTTAGCCACCACCTCCTACAAGAAGTCCTCTCTCACAGCCTACTTTCCCCCACCCCCAGGCTGAGTTAATTATCTCACTGTGGGCTCCCATAGTACCTCATCCTTATCTTCGATTTATAGCATCTGTTGCAGTAATGCCCATTCAAGTCTGGTTCCCCTATTGGACTGTAAGTTTCTTTATGTAAAAAATGACAGTTGTGTCTTTTTCATCATTGTATCCCCCATAATTTAGCACACTGCCAAACACATAGAATCTTTCGAATATTTGTGGAATAATGAATCAATCCATCACTTTCTCTGAAACCATAATTAGAAAGCTAATATGATTTATTACCTGAAATTAGGAAACAAAGAAAGAATAAAATATATATATAATCCTCTTTTGAATGAAGTTCCAATTCCTAATCATATTCATAAAGTGAGGGGCGATTAAAATAGCAAGGGCCGTGTTTGTTGACCTGTAGTCTTATGCTTCATCTGTGACCTTAGAGAACTTTCTGGTCACAGTTGCTTCCTTTCTGACTCTTTCCTTGAGTCCTCATTATGCGTTTTACCTTAGTTTTATTGGGGTCGGGAATATTGTGGAAGCAACAGCGATAGAGAAAAATCTAGAAATGACAACCTAAAAACAATTTTTTTCTGGCTTATTTTCCCCAATTATAAAAATAATACAATTTTTAACTAATAAAACTGGGCAAATTTTTTAAAAAAATAAAAAATTTAAAATCACCTAAAAGCCCACTTTCAAGAGATCTTATGCTTTCATTGTCGTTTTTCCTCTGTTTCTGTATGTACATTTTTTTTCCACTTAATACTGTATCAGGAGCTTCCTGCCAGGACCACTGGCCCAGCCCCTCCCTGGGCCACGCTCGCCTTCTTGCAGCAAGCAGCGCCGCTCCCTCCCTGCCCTAGGCCCGGGCAGGGGCTCTCTCCTACCTAGAACACAATTCCTTGGACTGAGGCAGGAGAACAAAGCATCATGGCCTAAGTTATGACAGATTCTACTCCCAGATCCTTCCAATTTTTAGCCTGGAAGTCTGGCAGCATAAAATTGTACTTGCATAATATATAATTAAAGGTGTGTATCTTATTATGAGACCGAGAAGCTTATTAATAACTCTTCGTGGTTTGTTTCATGAGTCTCAAGTTATTCATGGCCTGGGAGAGCAGATTAATAAACATTTAGTCAGTATGTCTTTCTTCACGTGCAAGGAGTCCATCCCCTGCCCTCTCCTGAACCTGGGAAAACTCCTTTTTTCCTCACCTGAGGATTTAGATATTTATGCTCCTTATCCTTATGAAAGGAAAATTTGAAACCTAATGGGGCCGTGTAACCTAACCTCACCCTCGTCTTTATAACTGACTGCTTATCTTTCTAGCGCTCTGGTTTGCTATAGACTTGGGCCCCTGTGTTGCTCCATCCAGGTGGGGGCTCTCAAAAATGAAGGCCCTGCACCAGGGCATCAACATCACCTAGGGACTTGTTAGAGATGTAGATTCTCAGCTCCACCCTCGGCCCAGCAGTCTTTGTATTAGCAAGTTCAATAGGTGACTCTTAATGTGTGCTAATCAGTCTTTACTAATAAACTCTACCAAGCCTGAGAACCATGGCTTTAGGAATGGGAGCGTTCTTGTCTGTGAATCCCAGCGTCGGAATGCTGTCAGACTTCCTGACAGTAACCAGCCTGACTACCTGGATGTTTGCAGATTGGCCAATGTTAAGTCTTCTGGAGCTACACAGAGCAGCCTGTTAGCACACCCACATGGTCTCGTGCTGCCTTCCTGAGGCTGGTTCTTTCCTTTGACTAACATCTGTCATCGCAGCCCGTGGTGTTTCTTATTACTGTACGCCATCCAGCTGGGTTGTATCTCAGCAGCTGCAACAGTGTTGGCTTAACATCTCCATCACCTGCCCCCGGTGAACTTATCTCGTCCAAAGTGCCAGCCCCTTCGGGTATTACTTGCCTCCTTAAATTCACCCTCCCGTTCCCAATCTCGACAAAAGTTTTGACGCATGGTGGGCAGAAACCCTTCATTTCTCATTAAAGTCAAAGGCACAAATGACAAATACAATAAAACACAAAATTGCTTAGATTGTTTAGAGTTCATGAAGAGATCTGTCTCAATATATACCTGCTTATAATCTTTGAGTTTCGAACAAGATATTACCTACTCAAAAATAAATTATTTTGAATTATTCTGAAAAACGCATAGTAAAAATAGGAGTGGTCGGGGGCAACTTCCTGGAAGCAGTGAATGATGAGCTTCATCTAGAATAGTGTGCAGGGCAGAGACTGATGACAAAGGGCAGGGAGCACATTCCAGATGAGGAAGGGAGAGGAGTGAGGGGGCGAATGCAAACCATGCAGAGAAGTGCACTCAGACGGAGCACTGTCCTTTCATCAAAACATGCTGGTTTTGACGACTCGTTTAGGTTATGGAATTCCACTGAAAGACGGAGATGAGAAAACTGATGAAGAAGCGGAGGGGCCGTATTCAGATGATGAGATGTTAACACACAAAGGGCTTCGAAGATCGCAAAGCATGAAATCTGTGAAAACCGTGAAAGGCCGCAAAGAGGTTAGTCAGGTACAGAGTTGTCTTCCTAATGATTCCTATTCCTTTCCCTGCTGCATTATCACTCAGGATACTAATGATCCATAAGGGAAGAAAAGAGGGGGAGATCAGCAGTTACATTTAAAATTCTTTATTCAGATTGGATATATTAGGATCCCTGGACATTTACAAAATGGTAAATCCCTGCTTCCCCTGTGAGTAGAAAATGGTATTCTCCTAGAGCAAGTCATACGGTGGTCACGAGCACCCAGTGTCAGCCCTACACGTAAGCAAAGAGAGCAACTAACAAAAATAACTACGTAGTTCTGCTTTGAACCAACCCTGTATGAGGATTAAATAGAAGTTTATCCATAATAATATATTGTCTTTGTGTCCAGAAAGCAGTGGAGGAATCCAGTCTGTCTCTGGCCTCCGATCATTGGGAACCATTGGCATACCAGGCAGAGCAGAACTAACAACAGTTAATGTTTTTATTTGTTATTAGTGATAATGACTTGCAGCATATATCCAACACAGTGCCAGCTCCGTTTTTGAGTACATTGGCAGCGATGTCTTCTGAGTTTGGAAGCACATTTCTAGGATAACTGATTCTTTATATTAGAAAAGTCAAAAAATTATTACTATGATTATGAACTATTCAGTTCTATCTAAGTTCAAAAGTAATCATCTGATTTGTAATAATGACACATTTCTCTCTTCAGGTACGATACGGATCACTAAAATACAAAGTGAAGAAGAGACCACAGGTGTATTTTTAGTCATCTGCACTTCAAGAATCCTAAGACAAATTACACTAATATGTTGACTTTTTTGCTAACATTATTCATTCAGGATTTACACATTAAAATAATACTTTAAATTGTGGCGGTGATAGGGTTTATTTTCATCAATTTAAATAGCTTTTATTTCTTTCACCATTACTTCCATGTCCTGACTACTAAAGGTAGTTATACAAAGCTTATTTATGTTTATGTATATATATCTCAGAAATAATAGAAAATTGTGTTATCTGTTTTCAAATTCCTCAACAACATTGAGTGCCTGGGATATTAAGATGAAACACAAACCCACAGTATACTTGAAAAGAGTCTTTACGGTTTAAGATACATCAGCCTTTGCGCTATTGTATTTGTGTTTACCTCCGTTTATATTCTGTCTATCACATGAGGATAGTAATTAAATAGGCCTCTGATCCAGCAGTGATAGGACAAGGGCATAATGTAAGATACAGCATGTTTTATATATTCTTTAAATTTTTACTTTTTTAATACTTTCTGGTTTTTCCACCATCAACTGAAAGTTTTCAAAACAAGTATTTCAAAGCCAGGTCTCCACGTAGCACTTTTTATTCCTGACTAGTTTTGCACACTTGAAAATTGTTTACTTATTTGTGACTGTACATTTAAGTTTTATTGACACTATCTTTATTGTTATTTGTCACATCCCAACATGTCACATTTATGCCTTGAATTTCGTCATCTCTTTTCCTGTGGGTTTCATTTGTTAAATTCATTAGATTCTAATAATATGAAAATACAGCTCATTGTTCAACTTTAACTATTTTTAACTCTCTCCTCTGTAGATGAGAAGCTGTTTTGAACATCAACCAGTTTTCCATACATCATAGTTGAACTTAGCATGTTCTGTTAACACTGGTTACGTTTTCAGCATTTAAAAAGAGCAGTTTTTGTGAAACAGGGTCATGAAGTTACCCAACAGTTGGTCCATTCACAAGCCTAGCACTGATATGTGCTGCTGATTTATAAATCTATATTGACTAGAATCATTTAAATTTCCCATCTTCTGGCTGAGTTCGTTCCCTGAAGATAGGTCCCAATGCAAAATACAGATGTTAATCTTATGTACTAGAAGCTACTAGAATAGATATAAGAAAAATATTTTTTTAATCCAAGATATTTTGAATTACGGAACACGGAGGCTTTTTTAGGTGGCATTGATAACTATGCATTCTGAAGTCTCTATTTCTGGTGGTGGTTTTAATGATCCGTAGTCAAATTTGTACAGTTAATTCAGATAATTTACTTTGACTGTTCTGTTTGTCAAAAAGAAAAAGCAGTGAGCGAGATTTGTTAGATCTTTGACTTCTCTACCTTTTTAAGAAATGAAACCAGCTGGCAATGTATATTCAGGACCTCCTCAGAGTGTTGGCAGAGAACAGAATGTTTATTTAAGAGTACCTTAGTTTAATTGATACATTGCTCTTGATACAAGTCTCAAAACATTTTCTGGACTATCTCACATTCTTAATACATTACATCAAGAAAAAATTCGCTCAACTTCTTTTCTCCAAAAGTTTAATTTTATGAATATCTTCATCTACTTTACCTTGACTAATTTGTAGCCTTTGAGTTTCGAGAAAAACTCTTTGTATTCAAAATTCCTAGGTATTCTGATTATAAATGCTTGGAAGGGAGTTTTATTTATATTGCCTCGTACCAGACTTATTAATACAAATGCTACACCGTATGTGTCTTTCCTGCCCAAAGGCAGTGTCATCTCAAGTAGCCTGGCAAAGTCATGTGACTCTATCTAAAAACATTACCTGTGCAGGCTGTTCTGCTCCATTTTATCTTTTCTAAGTCTGATCTGAGTATTAAACCTATTCCTTAATTATAGTAAATTCATAAATACTGTTCTAAATTGGAGGCATTATCTATCCCTCTCCACAAATAAGACACCACAGGTCGCAAAGGGGTAATGCATGTCCTTTTTCATTGCATCTCTCCACACGCACACGGTGCTTCCTCTGGTCTGTTTCTACTGTTATATTCTTATACGCAGTGGATGTCACTTTGCTGTTCCATCATTCCTTTCTCTCCTTTCCTTACATTTCTGACATTTTGCTGCTTTTCTCTTGTGTGTGTTTTAGCATGCCCTTTCCTTGGAACTTTGTGTGATAAGCTTATAAATCTTTGTCTCTTTTAAGGTGGAACAGGTCAGTTTTTGTTTTCTCTGCTTTTGAGTCCACTGCTTTTAAAAAAGGTAAATTTCTCTCTCGACCACAGTGCCTAGTTTTCCCAACGCCACCATTTGGTGAAGGGGCATCAGATGCTGCACAAGCCTATTTAAGGCGATATAATGGTAGCTGTTAAAATTTATGCAGAAATTGTAGCCAGTGTTTTATTTTATCATATATTCATTCAGCTTGTGCATTAATATTAACTGTTTCCCGAGTTTGTTTGGAAGTGACAGTTGATCTATTCTTTAGTTTACCATGTTTTTTCTGGGATAAAAAAATGAACCAGAAGTAAGTCTTATTGCTAAGTAGTTAATTATGTAAACCCACGTAGGTCCCACACAAGATTCCCTCCACACAGTTCACTCTATGTATGTGGATTTGGCTAGAAAGTGGTAACTGCCAGCATTACTGATTATAAATACTTGACTACACAGATTGATGGAACAAAATTATTAAAGTGTTTTCAGGGAATTGAATCCATATGTCACCACCAAAGATTCCTACAGTATTATAAAATATGTAAATATTCCAAATTTCTGTAAAACACTGGTTAGATAAATATGTCTTCTTTCGTTTCCTTTTTTGAAATAACATAGTTTGAGCTTCTGTAATACTTGAACTTTTGTGTTAAAAATAATCCAATGCTATTTCCTATTAAATATGAGTAATTTGTATGTTTAATTGGAATGGACTAAATTTTTATTTTGGTTTTCTTTTATCAGGAAAATTAAAGAGTTAATATGTATCGTCAAGCAGTTTCCTACGTGTTCCTATAGGCCGATTCATTTGCAAAGCAATTAGGCAATTTTGAGATCATTGTTACTGTGGTATGCAGTGTATATTTCTTAGTAAACATCATTTAAGAGTAAAACTTTCCAAAAGAAAAATACAGCTTTTTCCTCTAAATGGTTAAAGATTTAATCTTCTAGTAGTATCGTACAGATTTGTTGTATATTAACTTTTTGAAAATTGACCATGAATTAACATTTTCTCCTCTAACACCTCTTAAATCTGTGTACTTTCATAGTTCAGAGAAAGCTGTTTTGTAATTTTTTAAACTCTTTGTAAAGGCTCTCTTGAGGCCTAGTATGGGGGTAATTTTACAAATGTGTTTTTTGAAAACTTTAATACAAAATAAACTCATTTTATTAGTGACAACTTGTATTTTTGTGTGTCAGAGGTCAGAGTACCTATGTTGGGTTCCATAAATTTATGTTATTTATTATGGAGTATGTATATAGTATTATGTACATATTACATAATAGATAACATATCCACACACTTAAGATTCCAAATCACAGAGCAAATTATTAAAAAATCATATACATTCTGGAATGGTCATAGAATTACAAAAGAAACACTGACTTGTCGAATTTGGATGTTGGAATGGGAAGATATAAAAAAAATTAGTACAGAAACCCTAGCCATCAATTTGTATTGGTTAGCTGCCTCAGACATAAAATATAACACAAAATTCAGTTTTATGTATCCTGGGAATGTTCTGGGGTCCCATCTGTTTTAAAGTCAGACGTCTGTCTGCCTCACATTTAAGTTTTAGAGAGAAATCCTACGTTTAAAAGTTTTTTTGTGTTACTTCATTATGCTATATAATGTGTTAAAGTATTTCCAAATAGAGTTATGTTTTCATCTTTATTAGGAGGTATATCCTTGTGATGATCCAAAGAAGTTAGAAACTTAAATAAAAATTCAAAAGCACACAATGGATATATGAATTGCAGCATTTTCCCCAGTGTTTTATTCCCCCTTTAAGTGGTTCACCGTTCCTAAGAAATAGATTCATGGAACAAAAATCTTGTCATAGACCGATCCATTGTTCCATGGAAAACATTCCCTCCCTTTTACCTCTCCATCAGTATTCTAGCCTTGAAACACTCTCCTTAGGTTCTGGTTTTGGTAGTGTTTTTTAAATTGCTTTTTATAAGATAATGCTTTGAACTGAAATTTTAAAGCACAAGATTGATAACTGTCTATGTGTGTAGGATACTAAAAGACTGCTGGGCAGAAGCAGGAAAATCGCCAAGCCTAGCCTTAGTTTATCTGGCAAGCCCAGATTAAAGGCAAAAGGGAAAGAAAATACGGTATTTTGGCATTGTGTGCAAATCAGAGTAGCATCAATTATTTTCATGTAGAAATACTCCTTGAATGCCTGCTGTATAGAGCAACAATGCCTGGATCCAAGTGGGATAGCATAACAAAAAGCAATAATTCTTGCTTTTTAAAAAAAAAACAAAATGGATTATTTGAGGAGGATTTATGCTGGGATTTCTTCTAGGTTATTGAATAATTTATTTGGTCTCTCTCAGAGCAGGTTTTTTGTTTGCTTATTTGTTTGGGTTTTCATCCTTGGTTCCTTCTCTTCCTTACTTCTTACATCCAAGACAGTCCTAAGCGCTTTTGACTCTGTCCAAAACATACAGGGAGACTGCGGAGAAATTGCCAGTTAGGTTCCAGACCACTGCAATGAAGCAAGTATTGCAATAAAGCAAAGCAGATGAATGTGTTAGACTATATTTACCTTCTGTAGTCCATTAAATGTGCAACAGCATTATGTCTAAAAAAACAATGTACATGCTTTAATTAAAAAACATTGCTTAAAAATGCTAGTCATTAATCACTGATCACAGATCTCCATAACAAATATAGTAATGGTGGAAGAGTTTGAAATATCGCAAGAATCACCAAAATCTAACACAAAAACACAAAGTTGAGCAAATGCTGTTGGAAAAATGGTGCGTATACACTTGCTCAATGCAGGGTTACCACAACTAATTTGTAAAAAATGTAGTATCTGCAAAGCTCAATATTAAGTGAAGCACAATAAAATGAGGTATGCCCAAATCCTGAATTTGACTATTAAACTCGCTTCCCCTCCAACTCTCACCTGGAATACTCAGAGCATAACCTTTATTTAAGGCAGAAGTTCTTGAGACCTTACAACATTTTTTGTAGACTTACAAATGTTTCAAGGTGACTCAACCTTGAGTCCCATAGAACTGTCACAGCTTCTTATCTTTTCAACCAGTGTCTTCAGGAAATACAAAAAGAAGGTTGTGAAGACAGCAGGGAGAAGAAAAGGGGCAGATGGTCTTGCACATCAGCCTTGGGAGAGAAATTTTTCTCTTCCCAGCATTGTTGAATGCTAAATTTGGGAAGAAAGTGAGTGAGAATAGTTGATGGAGCCAGGTTAGAGTATCTGGCTGAATTATAATGTGTTTTGACATGACACTATCTCAAAGTGTTGAGAAAGAATTGGGGATAATAGGCGGAGATTTTTTTCCCCTTCAGAATTTTTAAGTTTAAGTTACTCTAAGTTTGAGTGTTAACGACAGATCGTGGTAGTGGCAAGAATCAACAGTATTATCTATATTAGAGTTCTCCAGAGAAATGGAACCAATAGATGTGTGTGTGTGTGTGTGTTTGTGTGTGTGCGTGTACACACGCACGCGCATGTGGAGAGAAAGATAGGGAGGGAGAGAGAGAGGCTTAATTTAGGGAATTGGCTCATGCAATTGTGGAGGTTGTCAAGTCCCAAATCTGCAGGCCAGGGTCACTTACTGGAGACCCAGGGAAGAGTTGATGTTTCTGTTCCAAGGTATTCCCTCTTAAGGCCTTCAAC